TTCTTGCCTGCGTTCTCTGACTCTGTTCTGCCCCCCTTCCATCTACATGTCTTCTCCCTCATCCCCTCAGAATGCATTCTCCTGAATTTAATGCCTCACTGCCTCTAAACACTGCCACACCACCTATCCCAACTATCTATCCATCCATCAATGCATGCATGCGTTCATCCTTCCATCCATTCATCCATCCACCATTCATCCATCTAATCATCTATCCTTCCAACCATCCACCCATCCAACCATCTGTGCATCCATCCATCCAAATAGCCAGCCAGCCAAGTATCCATTCATTCATCCATCCCAAGCATCCATCCATCCATCCATTTATATAAGCATCTACCCATCTAACCATCCATCCAACCATCCACCCATTCATTCATCCAACCATCCAGCCAGACAACTATCCATTCATCCAGCCAGCCAGCCAATTAGCCAACTATCTAACCACCCATCCATCTATCCATCTATCCAACAATATATTCACTCATTCATCCAACCATCCACTCATCCATCCATCCAATCATTTATTCACCCACCCACCCATTCATCAGCTTACCACAGGATAGCCTGGTGGTTATAAACCCCTGCTTTGGAGTTGGAAACACCTGGGTTCACAACCCAAGTCTTCCTCTTAACAGTATGGTATGACCTTGGGCAAGTCTCTAAGCCTCAGTTTCTTCTTTTGTAAACAGTGGGGACTTGGGGGTTGTTTTAAGGATAGAGGAATGCAAAGTACATGACAGACTTAACACTAGGCAAAGCATATAGGAACAGATCAATATACACAAGATTTTACTACTTGGGGCTTGGGGATGTAAAAGTGGCACAGACATAGTATCTGCCCTCATGGACCTCGTGGTCTGGAGCAGGGGTCAACAAGCTTTTCTGTAAAGGGCCAGAGAGTAAATATTTTCAGCTTTTTGGGTCACATATCCCTGAAGCAATTACTAAACTCTGCTGTTATCGCATGAAAGCTGTCATAGATAATATGTACACAAATGGGAATGACTTGTGCTAATAAAACTTTATTTATAAAATCAGATGTTGAGCCAGATTTGGCCCATGGGACCCCTGGTCTAGAAGGGAACGAGTAAACCAATCACACTGCAACAAGGGGGTTGAAATTGTGGTTGACGATTGTTTGTGGGGGGAAAACCCCAACGAGAATTGTGGTTGCGTAGGGAGAGAAACAATGGGGGCTGAAATTCAGACAGTGGCAGAGGAAAGAAGAAGAGAGGATGGAGTGGAAAAATGTCTGGGAGGTCACATTGACAGGGCTTGGTGTCCTGAGGGGTAGTGAGGAGGTAAGACTGGTCTCCAGGTTTCTGGCCAGGTCACTGGGAAGAGAGTGCATTCACACCGCTGTAGGGACATAAGATGAGGAGAGAAAACAATGAGTTTGGTCCTGACAGCTTGAGGTTGGGGTATGGGTGGGAATACTAGGCAGCAGTGACCAGAGGCCACTGGAGACAATGCCTGGAGCCTGGGGGGAGAGAATCTTCCACCAAAACCGGAGTTCATTGTGCAACATCAGAGTCAGAGGTCACTCTGAGAGCAGCGTCAGGGTTCAGCTTGTGGCACTGGGATGGGAACTCAGTCTATGATACCAGGATCAGGACTCAGTCTATGATATTAGGATTGGGGCTCAGTCCATGACACCAGGATGGGGCTCAGTCTATGATATTGGAATTGGAGCTCAGTCTATGACACCAAGACAGGGCTCAGTCTATGACATTGGGATTGGAGCTCAGTCCATGACACCAGGACAGGGCTCAGTCTATGACATTGGGATTGGAGCTCAGTCCATGACACCAGGACAGGGCTCAGTCTATGACATTGGGATTGGAGCTCAGTCCATGACACCAGGATGGGGCTCAGTCTCTGATATTGGGATTGGAGCTCAGTCCATGACCCCAGGATGGGGCTCAGTCTATGACACCTGGATCAAAGTTCAATCTATGACCCTGGCCATCAGGGTTTATAGTTGGTGATACAAAGATTGGGGTTCAGCATGGGATACCAGGATGAGAGTTGAGACTGTCATCAAAGTCAAGCCCAGCCAGTTCTTGGGTCAGAAGCTTCCATAGAAAGATTAAACTCATCCCTGGCCTTTCATGTTCAGCCTGCGATCCCAGACCCACAGGGTCTGCAGATGCAAGGTCTGAGGTTCTGCCTTTGGCCTCTACAGGCTCTTGTGGCCTCAGGCCTCCGTGAGGTCCCTGCCCAGTGAAGCAGGCAGAGCCTTCAGTCTTTCCTGAGGCCCCCGGGGTGCTTGGCCAAGGGATGGGACTGACCCTGGGACCAGCTCCTCTTCCTCCCCGGCTCGCATCAGCCTCCCAGACCCACCCCCACATCTGGTTTTTCTCCTTCACAGCCTGCTTGTTTTGTTCAGACATTTCTCTGAGTCATAGCTGCCGCCTTGGCTTCAGGGTGGGGAAGACAGGAGATACAAGGCTTAAATGAGGTACAGCAGAGCAGAGCCCCTCAGTCAGCCTGAGAGGGGAGCTGGGAGAGCAGGGATGGTGGAAACAATGATGTTCTCACACACTGTGGCCGGCCCAGACATCAAAGGCTCATCTACCTTGAAGGAAATGGAGCTGCAGCTCATAAGCACCCACACAACCAAAATTCTGCAAGGGGCCCCAGCGATTTTTTTGGCAACAATTTCATTGAGCTACAATTCACACACCCTACAATTCACCTGTTTAATGGGTACAATTCAATGACTTCTAGTACATTTGCAAGGTTATGCAACCATCACCACAATCCATTTTAGAATATTTTCATCACCCCAGTAGAAATTCATATCTTCTACCTGTCACTCCACAGCCCCCCATCCCCCCCCAACAGCCTTAGGCAACCACGACTTTGCTTTCTGTATCTATAGGTTCACCTATTTCAGACATTTTCTATAAATGGACTCGCATAGCATGTGGTCTTTGTCACTGGCTGCTTATAATGTCTTCAAGGTCGATTCCCCCACCGTATAGCAGGTGTCAGAACTTTATTCCTTTTTAGTGGCTGAATACTATTCCACTGTACGCTACACCACACCTTGTGTGTCTATTCATCCGTTGGTGGATATCCAGGTTGTTTCCACCTTCTGACTATTATAAATAATGCTGCTCATAAGCAGTCACGTATAGGGTTTTGGGTGGACGTACGTTTTTATTTCCCGCGGGGATATACCTGGGCATGGGATGGCGGGGTCACTAGATAGCTCTATGATTTTCTTTTTTAAGGGGCTGCCACACAGTTTTCCGGTGTCCCGGTATTTTTGCACACGTGCATGTGCCCACCTAACCCCTTTGCACTCATTTATTCATGAAACGTGTTTATTTCTGCCTCGGCCGTTTCCTGCTGTCCTGGTTCAGAAGCCCTCGCAATTTTGTATTCATAATTTCGTATTCTTTCCTAAAAGAAGGCTCCTCCAGACTGTGTATGTTTCAGGGTCCCAAAACTTGGAGCAGTGTTTGCAGGTCTGCAGCCAGGAAAAGAGGGGGTGTGAGTAGACAGCCCCGTTGGAATAGAGGGACATCATCGACCTTCCCCTCTGCTAGACCCTTTGAAGAATGAATGGGGGGTGTTGCTCATAATCACCCTGGCTCAGCATTAAGTAGGACTGTCCCCAGCAAACCAGGATATGGGGTCACCCAGCCATAGGGGACCCAATCTACCTACCTAACTCAGCACTTTCCCAAAGTATCTGACACCCCACTCTCCCACCCCAACTCAGCCCCACCTGAGGCCACCATTGCTCTTATTTAGAACGCGCCGGTCTGGTCAGTCCCTCCATGTATCCCTCCACCGTTCTCTTCTCCTCCAGGCACTCTCCTGTCACCTCCCTGGTTTCAGCAGAGCCTGGGTTGAGGGGGGATGGAGGAGCGAAGTCCAAACAACAAGGCAATGCAATGAAATGAAACGTACATTAAAGAGGCACCATATAAGTGGGGGGCGGGCAGAGATTTCTGGAAGGAATACGGTGAGGCCTGCAGGCAGGCAGCCTCAGAGCAGGAATGGAGGGGGAGGGTCTCATGCAGCAGGTCCTGCGGGAGCAGAGACAAGACACAGAAGGAATATCCTGGTGGGTATCGGGGGCCAGGCCAAGAGTCTCCATATCCTTCCTGCAGGCAATGAGGAGGCTCCGCAGGGATTTGAATAGGCAAGGGGGACCTCTCCTGCTGCAGTGTAAGGGGCAGGAAGAGAGAAAAGGGGGCACCCACTCCTCCCACAGCAGGCGGCTCAGTCCAACACCAGATATCAGGCCAGGGCACCCTCCTGACCTAGAGAGCAAGCAAGGTGGCCAAGACCGGCCAAGGACCACACATGCTGGGCCCCTTCACCTTCCCCAAAGCTCTAAAAGGCATCGTCACACTCACCTTCCAGGTGAGGAAACTGACCTTCAAGGTGTCTTCCCCAAAGGGGGGGGGGCAACCATTAACGACAGGTCCGGGCAAGGACACAATCTGCTTGACCCTAAAGCCCCGGTTTTCTCCTCTATCCCGTGGCACCCAGAGGTCCCTAAACTCCAAATACAACATTGGGGCAGAGGTGCCTGAAGTCCCACCGTTAGAGACCCTACAAATGCGGGCACTGGGCACTTGCATTTGATCTTAAGGACCCATTCTATTGAATGAGGGCTTTTTTTTGCCAGAGCAAGCATGACAAACCAGTGTCATCTTAGGAGCCTACTCTGATTAACTCAAGATAGCTGCTGGAAATGGTGCCCTGGGGCAGTGCGGGGGGGGATCCTAAAGGAATAAATGATCAGCAGGAAAAGAACCTCATGATTGAATACATATGTCCACCAGAGGCACAGGATGGGGAGGTGACAGCATGTAGGCGGGCTTAAAAGTCATGGAGACCATCTTCCTCCACCACCCCATCTTACAGATGAGAAGACTGAGCTCCAGCAGAGCAGCAGCAGATGCAGAACTCAGACTCCCGCTCCTTAGCCCTTCCGCCTTGGCCCTGACGCCTGGTCTCTCCTTTCTGCACAGGTTCTGAGCCCAAGCCATGTGCCCAGCCCTTTGACTCTGGAGCTGCAGCTTCAGGCACTGAGAGCAGCGACGGAGCCTGGAGGTCCGAGCACCCAGACTTCCCCACCATGGAGGATGAGCAGGCAGGTGTCTGATGGCTGAGACAGGCCAGAGCTGATGACACCAGTGGCAGCAAGTACACTTTGTAAAACACGTGCACTTTACCAGGCACATCTGTGCACGTTAGTTCAGAGAACACCCGTTAAAACTTGGCCGAGTAGTTATGATTCCATTTTATAGATGAGGAGACTGGAATCCTTCCTGGAACAAGGGGAGGGAGGGAGGGCGGGAAGGGAGGAGGGAGTAGTAAGTAGAAGGCCGCTGGATGGATGGATGGATGGATGGGAGGAAGGAAGAACTGACAGAGGGATGGATACATGGATGGCTGGACGGATGGGAGGAAGGAAAGAAGCTTAGACGGGTGGGTGGATGGAGGAAACACGAAGCAGCAGCTTCCACGGGAGCTCCCAGCTAGGGCAGCCCTGCAGAGTGGTCTCAAGTCAGGCTAAGAGGGGCGAACCACTAGGTCCCCACATCGATCAGCGGTGGCGGGTGGGCTGCCCAGGAAGGGGCATGACTTCCTGGAAGGGGTCTGACAGCGGACAGCCATCTGCGGACAGCCCCCCTCCCCGCATCTGGGGCAGCATGTCTTCACGGGAGGGGGTTCTGGGTGGCGTTTTGCACCGCCCCCCACACTAAGGAAGGAGGGCCTGTGACAGTTAAAGCCTGTAGGGCGTCCTGTGGACCCACCCCGTCATGTTGTAGAAGAGGATCCTAGGGCCCAGCAGGCAGGACCTGGCCCCAAGTGTCAGGGAGGATCCGGGGCGCACGAGGGTAAGATCAGGACTCAGGTTTAGTTCTGGGCTCTGGGCCTTTCAGAGAAAACCGGAGGCTGCAGGCCGTGGGCAGATGAGGTGGTGATGCGGGAACGGTGCCCCGGGGGAGGCAGGGCGCCCTGGGAGTATGCGGCCAGACTCTATCCCCCGCCTCCACCCAGTGAAGCCCTCCACAACTCCTATTTGTTCCTCGAGGCTTCGTTGGCTGTCGCCTCCTCCAGGAAGACCCCCTGGCTGGCTTGCTTGCTTGCTTGCTTGCTTTTTCTTTCTTTCTTCCTTCTTCTTCTTTCTTTCTTTCTTACATTTAGTAGGACTTCTTCTTGAAAGTCTACTGTCTCCTAACTGGTAAGACGTAGATCTCTTCTTTTCTTTCTTTTTATTTTTTAAGTAGACTCCACGCCCAATGTGGTGTTTGAACGCATGACCCTGAGATTAAGAGTCCCATGCTCTACTGACTGAGCCAGCCAGGCACCCCAAGAGGTAGATCTTTTTTTTTAAGTATATGAAACGTGACCAATGCGTGAAACTTGGCCAGTTCAAGGGATCTTTCATGTGTCATGCGGACGCTACTTTATGTGGTCAGAAATAGGTTTTTGGGGGGTTTTCTTGTGGCTCTGGAAGCTGTCTAAAGTTTGCCTAACTTTTCCTAATTGAGTTGTACTTAATAGGTTTTTTACCCCAATGATTACCCTGGGTGTAGTACTTCAAAATAGAAGGGATTTTCTAAGTAAAATTCCAATCCAGAATTCCCATCCCTCCAGACAGGGCCTGCTGGCCCCCCTCAGTTCTTTTCTTTAGCCTGCTTCCTGAAACATTCTATCATACTTGATTATGATGGCTGGATTAAACCATCACTCTTCCTGCACCTAGCTCCGGGAGGGCAGGGGACGGACTGTGTGACACAGCCCTCAGCTTCCTCAGAGGGAAAGCCCTGACCCCTGAACCAGAAAAACAGCAAGCGCCATCAGACCTGCTTCTACTGACCAAGGGCTTGCAAAGCGCACACATCATCTCGTTGTACTCACACAGCAAGGAATCCTACAAGAAGGCAGCTTTGCACCCATTTTTCAGAGGAGAAAACAGACCCAGAGAGGGTTTGGGACTTGCCTGAGGTCCCGCCGAGCTAATAAAAGTCATACCAGGGATGCAAACCCTGACTGAGGTTTTCCTACCATTTGAGCTGCTCAAGAATCAGCTGCCCTGTCATTTATTTGCTATTTTGTTCGATACCAGCCTCCTTTCTTACCTGATGAAATGGAACCAGAGAAACAATATGCTCGAAGCTGCTTTGGCGTGCCATGGTTTGCTAATATACGATGAAATAAATAACTACTCGCGTTTTTAAAAACCAGTTTATCCACGTACTGTCCAAATCTGCACCCAGTAAGCCCTTCTGCAGAGAGCATTCCTGGGACATCTCACCTCTGAGTCCGACTGGGAGGACGCCCACCCCCAAGGCTCCCCAGGGTCCATGCAGTGAGAGCCTGGATTTATTGCATCCTCTCTGGGGTGTCAGGACCAGTATACACTGTTTAGTCAGATGCCTGGAAAGGCCCCCGTTGGGCCGGCTCCTGCCTTTTCTCACCCAGGCAATGCTGGAGGAAAGGTTGGGGCTCCCAAGCCAAGGATGAGGCTCCCCTCCCCCTGCGTCCCTCAGTGCACCTGCTGCCGGGAGCTAGGACGGCCTGTGCCCACAGCTGCCCACCACCCCTGCCACCCCCAGCCCTGGCCAAGTGCCCACTGCTGCCTCTGGTGAGGGAGGCCAGATGCAGGAGAGGGAGAGGGGGCCCGGCCCAGGCCAAGAGGCTGTCCTGACGTGTTTATATTTACAGAAGGATAAAAACCAGAGACACAAGGAAATCTTTCGGGCAGTGGGTCAATAGAGGGAGGTTGTCCAGGCACCAGGGATGGGACTGGAGTGACTTGGGGGAAAGGGGAGACCCACCAGGACGCTGCTGCCCAGGTCACAGGACGGGCAGGCGAGCCTGAGCCAGCCACGACCAGAGACGTGGGTATTCCCACAGAGACCGGAGAAGCGGGACCCTGGTATATAAAGGACAGAGGGAGGACATGGAGCCAGAGAAGGGGCAGCTGGGGAAGGTGGGAGGGACAAAGATCAATGGGGGCAAAAGAGAGATTCTAGAGAAAGGGAGGCTGTGCGAACAGCATGGAGCATGTTCCAGAAGTCAAGCCCAGAATCACCTCCCGCTCCAGCAATCCCCCTTCTGGATAGCTACGCACAAAAATTGAAAGCAGGGACTTGGCACAGTTCCCTGTACACCCACGTTCACCGCACGCTTCACAACAGCCAAACATGGAAGCAACCCGTGTCCATCACGGGATGAATGGTACAAAGAAGGGATAAACCTGTGGAGAGCTCCCAGCGGGTAAGACCGGAGGGAAAAGCCAGATCCTGCATAGCTCCTCTTTCCAGGTACTTTCGACTTTGAATTGGAAGCTTTTCCGCAAACCCCCCATGCCAAGCATTAGTAGGGGGTCTCCCTGTTCTCCCTCACCTGCTAAGGACTGGCCCTGCCTGGCCAAATGGTCCAGGGGTAGGGTTGCAAGACTGAGCAAACAAAACTACGGGACACCCAGTTAGATTTGAATGTCAAATAGTGCAATGTTTCGGGATATATTTATACTAAAAAAAATACTTGTTTATCTGAAATTCAAATTTAACTGGGTGTCCTGTATTTTATCTGGCAATCCTATCCTGGGGTATTTTTTTTTTAAGATTTTATTTATTTATTTGACAGAGAGAGAGAGAGAGAGAGAGCACAAGC